TCATTCATCTGTACAGTGATGCTTTCCATGCTTAAGAGGTGGATTGGCTCCAAATGTTGAATAGGAATAGGAGTAGAGGGAAAGAACTCAATGGTTGGATTTAAGATCTGCTGTTAGATTAAACTGAGGGAAAGGAAAGGAAGGAGAGGACACCTGAAGATGAATCGGAGGTTACTGACCTGTATAACTCAAAGGATGCTCATGGCATTTTCTTAAATGAGGAAAGGCTGGACATAAAAGAGTTTAAGGGAGAATAAGCAAGAGGTTTTTTCCTTAAATTTGTGAAATGAGAGATATTGTGAGACATCCGAAAGAAGATGTCAGGTGGGTGGTTGGATATGCAGGTCTGGAATTCAGAGTGGAAGTGTAGACCAGAAGAAAAATTGGAGTCATCAGTAGAAAGATGCTGATGGAAGCCACGGATGCAAAGAGAGAGCAACAATAAAGTGCCAAGTCTGTGGCATCAGGGACCTGAAGAGTGGGGTGAGAAGACGAGGAGTTGCTGATAAGATGGAAAAGGAGTTTCCTTAAACTAGGAGGAAATCAGAGGTTCAGTGTCAGAGAAGGAACATGGTGGCTTTTGTCTCAAGAGATAATTTTTATGAGACTGATGTGCTGTTTACTGCATTAATGGGGCACCTCAAGGAAAAATTTTTAATCAGAATAATAAATGCAAATACATGTACTTCTTTATATCTGATGATAAAATTGTATCTACATTATTTTTCTAAGTATGATGAGGGTTTAGCAGATTTCTCTTTACATGGTGACCCATTGTCCCCATGTGTGGAGGTGGGTGTTAGCAATACATGATTCAGGAATATGTGGGACCTGACCCTCTAATTTAACTCCCATGTGAAATCAGCACAGCTGAGATCTGCCTCTTGTAGGGCAGTGGTTCTCACGGGGGCAATTTTCTTCCTTGGAGAATACTTGCCAATGTTTGGAGACATTTTCAGCTGTCATATCTGAGTGGAGAGGGGTGGAAGGAGATTGATACTGGTATCTAGTGGGTGGAAGCCAGAGGTGATGCTAACCATCCTACAATGCACAGGGCAGGCCCTACAACAGACATTATTTACAAGGCTCGAAAGTGTCTAGGATGAGAAACCCTGCTGCTGAAAGTGCAGGGTTAAGTTACTTGTCAAGATTTCATTGTTCCTTCCTGAAAGACCTCCTTGAGGGAAAAGAGAAAACTGCCAAAGCAAAGATTCAGCAGTTCCTGTCTCTTAGGAGCACCTATGCCCAGACAGATTAGTTGACTGAAATGATTCCCTTTACTACTGTTTCACACATATGCATCTCTAGGCATCTATGATATATAATAAGTCATAGAAAATTTCTGTGGCGGAGAGAGAGACAGAGGGTGAGGGAGAGAGAGCCGCAGAGAGGGGGATATATTGAGATTCTGTAATAGAAGAAGAGGAAAAGACAAAAGCACCAACGTGGCCTTTGGATTCAATTATTCAGGATTCTCAATCCTGTTATCTTTTCTTGCTCTCAAAAATGGCATTCATCTTGGGAACTGATTGAATTTTTCTTTACTTGTATAATAAAAGGCTTATTGCCTGCATGAAAATAAAGCGAATGTAATGCTGGTCTCATATACGAATTTAAAGATATTGTTGCATTTTTATATTGCCCCTAATTTCTCCTTAATGAGAAATTCATCAGGGGCAGTGTAGAGTTATTTGGAAAAAGAGAAAATCATGTAGAACTCAGAATATCAGATATTTAAGAAATTTTAGAAATCATCTATTCTTGACCTTTTAGTAACAAGATACTTTCAACTTTCATGGAATTTTTAGCTAGCATGATACTCTCCTCCTCCAACTTTGGAAGTGTACAAGAGATTGTACAAAAAATTTGAACAGTGATGTTAAACTGGCCTGAACTTGCCAGATCTGGAGATCAGCTAAAGGTTGATTACCAAGGAGAAAGAGAGGAATAGTGTGCTGTTCTATGGCATAAGAAAGGCTCCAGAGAAAATTCTTCTTCTCCTTCTCCTTCTCCTCTTTCTCCTCCTCCTTTTCCTCCTTCTTCTGCTCTTCCTTTCCTCCTTCTTCTCCTCCTCCTTCTCCTCCTCCTCCTCTCTTCCTCCTTCTCTTCTTCTTCTTCCTCTTCTACTCTTCCTGTCTTCCTCCTTCTTTTGGTACTGGGAATTGAACTCAGGACCTTGTGCTTGCCAGGCCAGAGCAAACTCCTAAGGATTTCATTAGGCAACTATATTTGTCAAATTAAAATGAAAATAAAAGCTAGAACCAATGTATTTATATAAAGGGGGGCACTAGAGACTCTCTCTCCTCTCCTGCTACCCTGTGAAGACATAGTGAGAAGATGGGTGTTTATAAGCCAAGAAGAAAGATCTTCAGAAACTGACCTTGTTTATGCCTAGATCTTGAACTACTAGCCCTCTGGTGTCTAAGAAAAAGAATTTCTATTATGTAAGACAGTAAACAAAATGAAAAGTATGTTAGCATCTAGGTCAGTGCAAGATTAATGTAAGGGTATGTTATGGAAGTGTTTTCACTGTAGCTTAACACTTTACTGGTGGTTGCACATCAGAGGCACTCAGTAAATGCCTACTGAATGCATGACTGGGAAATCTTGGTGCAAGGACAAATTTTATTGATTTGTAAGGGCAGGAAAGTAGAATATGTTCATTAACCAACACAATATTACCTTTCTTATTCTTTACTCAATAAATGATTAAATCGATACAAATGAGGAACAGGGAGAGTAAATATCAGATAAGATTTGTATTCAGTTTATGAAACAGAATATCTAAAACCTCAGTGGCTTAAATAAGTAATAGGTTTATTTTCATCATTTAATTAAAATTTAGAGCTATTTAGGAAGTCCGGGGTGGCAAATTAAAGGTGCTACTGAGGATATGGGCTCATTTGTTTGTTTGTTTATTTATTTATTTATTGTTCTTCAACTACTCTTTGCACATATCTTTGTAAAAATGGACCCAATTTTTTTCTCCATGTCTCTGTATCTAAGCATTGTATATACTTTCCAGACAGGAAGAAAGGTGAAGGGCAAGTGTTGCTAGATTTACTTCATTTTTAGCAGGAAAACTGGATTTTCCAAGAGCCCTGCCCAGTAAGACTTCCACTTCCTTCTCACTAGTCAGAACAGGATCACATGCTTTATTACTAACTGGAAGGGAGTTTGGGAAGGATTTGTCAACTACACTGGCAAAAAAAATAATCTGGTTTCTGTTACTAAAGAAGAAAGTGATGGTGGCAATTAGTTAGTTAGGCCACTAGGAACATATTCATAGCTCCACTCTTAAGGTATCAAGACCCCTGTCAGAGAACTGGTTTGCCTGGTCCCTTCTAATGGCTTCAAATCAAGAGAAGGCCTCATGCTAGTCTGTCTGTTTTCCTTGAAATAATGATGTAGAGTAGTATGGATCTTCAGTAAAACCACATCTGTTTGTCTCCCCCAGGAACTGGGCAAAAGCCCAGACCAAAAGGTCTCTACTGAAGGTCACATGGTGGGAGACAGTCTGTCCTCAGAAATCTCAGAGATATTTGTGCTGAAATTAATACAGCTGGACTGGTATCTGGTTGTCACTATGAGGCCAGTACTTACTACAGACATTATATTTGGCTGAAGAAAAATAAACCTGAGCGTCATGCTGAGCCCAAGTAGTGCAATTCCAGACATGACTGAGGTTTTTCTAAGTCCTGGGAGGAAGCTGACCAAATAAGAAAAGTGATTAGTACACAGTAAGTTCCCAACAATAGCGGTAGTCATTATTGTTTAATGGGAATATTGATCAAGAGAGAAATCTGATGCACTATTGAATGGTAACTAAGAAGGATATAAAATATACTAAGATAGGAGTTGTTTAAAGCATAACTTTGTGTGCAAGAGAGGAGCACGGAAGGCAAGAACTGATCTTAGAGGATCTAGAATGTAGGATTTAGAATTCTTTTCCTGAGTGTGAAGGGAAATGACTGGGGCCAGGAGAGGAGCACGTCATGTTTTGAAAATGTCACTATATAGTATTGAGAACTGACAGGAGGGAGCCAAAGAGAAAGCAGGGAGATGGAGGTGGCTATGGCAGTAGTTCTGGTGACAAATGATGGTGATTGGATCACAGTGCTTGTGTAAATGGGAAAGAGTGGTCTGATTTAAGATGTATTCTTTACAGACAGAACCAGCTGCTGTATTTTATATGGATGCATTTTAGGGGTAAGTGGTGGAATCCATAGTTTTCAACCATGTTAAATTTGAAATGCCCAATGGATATTCAAGTAGAAACTTAACGGGGTAATCAGAGAAAGTTGAGTCTGAAGTTTAAGATTCAGGTTAAGAGTGGAAAACCTGTTTCACAGTCCTTATTGTACAGATGTTATTTCAAGCCATGGTGCTGGACAAGATCATTGAGAGAATAAGGATAAACATAAGAAGGAAAGAGGGTCAGGGACTGGACCCTGGGACAGTGAGAAAGAGCAGCCAGTGAGGAAGGAGAATACCAGTGGGGGTAAAGTATAGGAATCAAAGTGGAGAAAAAAGCCCAATAAGGAGGACATCGTCAATTATGTCTAATGATCTTAATTTGAGTGTAACGAGGGCTGAGTGTTGGCCATGGCTTTGCGCTGTGGGGTCACTTGGCGGTGTTGACAAGAGCAGTTCCATGCTTGTGCAGAGGACAACAGCCTGAGTGGAGAATAGAGTTCTAGTGATTTCTCCAAGGTTCTGAGAGAGAACGTGATGAGATTTGGTTGCTATGCAAAGGGTTTTGAACTTCATCAGGGCAATAGCACCTTAGCAAGAGCACTGACACTCATATTCGCACTGCAGAAAATCATCCTGGCTGTAACATGGGAGAGAATAAGTCATCTCAAAAAGTTATTGAGTAATGGTGCTAGAACCAGGTTGACGGCAGTGTAGATGGAGAAAATAATTTGATTTGAAAAAAATTAAAGAGACAGCATCTAGATAACTTGAGAATGGATTGGAGGTGAAATGTGGGAGAGAAGGAGGTGGGTTCAAATCCCGATTTTGCCACTTGGTAATCCTGCCACCTTGAGCGAGTCCCTAAAGTCTCTGTGCTTTGATCTTCTCATCTATGAATGGTGACTTATAAAGGTAAATACATCACAGGGTTGTATAGGATTAAATGAGATTTTAAATGTCAAATACTTAGTACAGGGTCTGGTGCATGACAGCCATTGAGAACCATAAAGAGAACCTTAGAACACATACTTTCAACCCCTTACTAGGCATCTTCTTAAGCAATAAGAATTGACTTATCCTCTTCCAGGAAATCAGCATCAACCATTCATCAGAATCCACAGCGCAGAAGACAGTTTTGCCAGGAAGATTACATGATTCATGTGTAATGCTAGGTATCATATAAGCTAGGCATTATTATTTAATATCATCAGTGAGACTCAAATATAAAAAATCACTTTGACTAAAAGGATTCACTCAGAAAGAGATAGATATGATTGGTTGCTGCTGTGATTGACATTCAATGACAGATTTAATGGGACAAAAATTTTACATGCAGATTAATTTGCATATATTGTATCTTCAATTTGCCCACACAAATTGGGCACTTAGGTACACAATTACCCAATTAGTAAAAGTCATTTCCTAATTGTAGGGGCAAACATGATAATTGTGCCCTCAAATGGCTATGCACTCACAATTTGCTTCCTTTTAGGAAAGGTGGCACTTTTGAGTTTCATGTTAAAATTAAAAGCATCTGACAGCTAAGGATTTCTTCCTCTAAATGGATGATGGTGTCATTTCAGCACTGACTGTGCATGGTTCTAATAACAAGGAGCTATTAGAGCTAGAATTTTTGCATAAAGATTGTGGATATTTTACTATATATTACGTTCAAATTTCTTGTTCTTGGATGCATCAGTGGGCCATCAAGGAATTTTGCTGGTAGTTGCTGAAGTCTCTACCTACTTTTGGAATCACCTGTGTCTGACTAGTGCCTTTCTTCTGCCTTATGCTTCTTCTTTCTTCCTTTGCCTTGTCTTACTTACTTTCTCACAGTATCTGACACCTACAAATTAAAGGAAGAAAGGTATATTTTGGTTCACGATTTGTGGAGGTTTTAGTCCATAGATGGATGGTTCCAAGGCACAGCTGCATGGCAGAGGACAAACAGTTCATGAGATGGTAGACGGAAAGCAGAGGGAGAGATCAAGGCAGCAGGGAGGGTGATATACTCTTCCAGGCCACACTCTGAGGCCCACCTCCTCAGACCAGGTTTTACCTCCCAACATCACATTTAGCTGTAAGCTCATTAGTGATTGATCCTGATCCAATCGCCTCCCAAATGGCCCACCCATGAGCACATCCTCAGGGAAGTCTAGTATACACTATAACATGACTTGATGGGAGGGCTGTTCTCTTTCTCCTTCTGGCATGCCCTTGTGTGTCACTTCACTGTTTCTGGTATTGAGATGGACCTATCAATGTTTCTGGTTCTCTGTAGCCAGAAAGGAGATTCTTGGTAGGATCATCATATATATTGGATTTGGATGTGGCCTAGATCTAAGTGTGGCATGAAACCTCTGGGCGTTACTATGAATTGCTTGAAGAGAGCATCCTCCCTTCCTCCATTTCTTTGTTTCTTTCTTCTTTTCTGTTTTCTTTCTTCCCTTTCTACTTATTAAAATAAGCCCAGTAAAATCAACCCAAATTTTTGATTTGGGTTTGATCAGAGTTGAACAGCTGCTAACACAAAGGAATGTACACCTTTGGCCAATATGCATAGGAAGAAATTCTGAGCAACATTAGTTGTCAGGTAGATGCAAACAAAAAACAGGCATGAATATGCGTTCAAGATGATCAGCAATCCAAACTGTTGTGAGAACTTGAGGGGACTGGATTTTGCTTACCTTACTGGTGTGATTAAAATAAAGTACATTGGCTTTAGAAAAAAATGGCTGGACAGTTTCTTTAAAAATTAAAAATATATCCAGCCAATGGCCTGGCCATTCCACTTTTAGGTTTTATCCAAGCCAAATGAAAACATAAGTTCCCTAAAAATGTGTACAAGAATTTTCATAAAAATTGATTTATTACAGTAAACACTTGAAACAACACAAATGTCCATGAGTGGGTGAATGGATAGATGAATAAGGTATATCCCTCCAATGGAACACCACCACTCAATAACAAAAATCATCAACTGTGTACACCAACACTAAAATACTGAATGTTTCTATTTCCTGCTAGAATAGGCAAAACTGGCTTTCTTGAAAAAGTGATATCGAGCTGAGATTTAGAAAATAATTAGAATAACCATGTGCAGGGAAAATCATGTAGTTAAGTCAGAATTTGAAGGCAGTAATGAAGATGTGGTAAAAGGAATCTGGTTAACTGTGGGCAGATATATTAGAAGTGGCGGGGTGAAAATATAAAGGCAAAATGGTCATTTAAGAAGTGTGAAAAGAAAAGGGGTTTGTCCTAAATCACAATGACCAAGGCTAGATCATTATCTTGCCTTTTGGTTTTGTTCTTTCTACAAAAGTGCTTTGATTTGTGTACAACTGAATTAGTATTAGGGCCTATAACTTATATTCTTGGATGTTTCAGTGACTTCATTCAGTAGAAATTTATTTCTTGCTCATGAAAAGACTATTATAAATGAATAAGCTTCTACCTCAACTCTCCATTCTGTAGCTCTGCCCTCTTACTGGGCTACAAAATATTCTCTATTTTGCTGGCCAACAGGGAAAAAGAGGATGGAGGTGGCACATCTCTTCTTACTCACTTTGTACTCAAAGAAATACATATCATTTTTGCTCGCATCCAATTACTGAGAACAAATCACATGGCCCATCTAATTACAAGGAATGTTGGGATATATGGCCCTTGGGGTACATACTTCCTAGTAATAATTCTATACTTTGGGTTGGAAGAACCAATCTTTGGTGGCCAACTGGTCATTTTTGTAACCGTTCATGTCCTTCAGTGAGCATCACCTTTTCTCTTCCATTTTCCATACAATTTGAGCTCATTTCATTGTGCTTTATTGAAAGGTTTACATTCTTAGCCGAAGTCTTGCCAACTGAAACAGAAATGCTGAGTTCTCCAGGCTCACCACGGGAGCTCTGAGGTTCATAAATCACAATGCAGAGGCAGTTCATCATCTGAAAAATGAGGAGGAAGGACTGCCAGAGCCTAGTTCATAAAACAGATGTTCCTTTGGTGGATAACAGCAAAAGAGAAGCAGGACCACAGAAACTGAAAACCCAGGAATGCAGCCATCTTACCTCAAACACAAAGCGTAGCATTCATAACTCTCCCTCTTCCTACATCCCACTCTCCAGGGGGAAAATCATTTTTTTCTTATTTAATTATGTTCCTTTTCAAACTTGAATAATAGCTATTTTCCTGTGTTCCAGACAGGAAAGTGGGGGCATTAATTTTTCCCACTGTGTGATGAATATGACAACATCATAAAAGCGACTGTAGGTAAAATATGTCTCATGAAGCATGTTGCTCTACCATCTTTATTATTAAATCTCACTCAGGATAAATAAGCCTCATTTCAGCTGTAGCCATTTGTTCTTGTTAGGGAGCCACAGGATGGCATGAAATATTAAATGACAAAGGTTAGTTCTGCTCTCAGCAAAGAGCTCCTTTCTAATTTCCCATAAGGTTGCACAACAGGTCAGTGTGTCAGGTTTGAAATGGTAGCTTGAGCTAGCTTTCACCAGCCAGGTTTTTCACCTTAGCTATGTTGATGAATCAGAATTTTGCAGTGGGAAAACAAAGCTGATTCTGGCTGCCTCTGAGAAGAACAGGGGACGTGCTTGTTCCCGACTGTATAGCAAAAGTCTTGAGAATTTGCTTCTAGTAACTGAATGCCTAGTCATTTTCTGCTAGTCCCTCTGTGACTAATGGAGATTTCTGGGGTCTCACTACTTTGAATACTGGTTACTCAGTCTTAATTCTTCCTGTTTCTTATCCAATGATTGTTTGTGTAAAGTGAAAAGCTTGTTGCTTTAAATTAAATTGATGCTTTATTAATATGTTAAATGGCCATGCTCAAGCTATATTCACTTATTACAGTGCATTCTGCAATGCATTAGTAATGAATGGAAACACTTGACTTAAAGATCTCCCTATAAATCAGATGAACATGGGGAAAAAGAGTCATTGTTTATTTATGAGGTCTGGGAAAGAAATTATACAAAGCAGACCTTATATATCCTCCTATTCTAAAAACATTATAAAACATTGATTACATGCTTGCCATTAAGTTTATGCTTCTATTGCCTTCATGTTTCTGATTTTATCATCAATCTTTCTTAAGAAATAAAGCACTGAAGTCTACTTTACACAGAAGAATGAAAAGCTGTGGAACAAAGCAGTAAAGTTCTCTTGAGTAGAAACTGTGTGTCTTTTTTCTCTCAGTGTTGAGAGGGAATGTTCAAATTGTGCATCCACCTGGGAATGTTTTACTCTGCTCAGGTCCTACTGTGGATCTGCTTCCTGGCAGATGCAAATTAACAAACATGCATTGGGTATCGAGTCTCAGAAATAATAAGACATTATGGAAAGCATAATATAAAAGGCATATGGACAAGCAATTTTTGGAGGCCATTCCACACCCAATATATGTTCTCTATATAAGATTTCAAACAGGCAGGAAACAAGGTACTATTGCATTGTTTTGCTAAGATTGTGTGAGAGCTGTGATTTTAGAATTTCCTGGTAATGTGGACTGATATAGATATGTGGCCTTATATAAAAATTAGTTGAGACCTCTGTTATCCTCTGACAGAAGATCCCCTAAATTGTATCATCTTCTATCCCAGAAAGTGATGAGCATTCAATAATATGTGTGTGAGGGTAAGAACAAAGGGCTCAGGGTGACCTGATTAACTGTTCTGTAGGATTTGGCTTTTTGGATGGACCAGACGGATTGACCCTATTTAATAGTAATCTGGGCTCAATCTCATTGCCCTGGGAACTGTTGTCCTATAAGATTAGTAGTCTCTTTTCTTGAACAAAGAGTTGTTGTTAGTGTACTATTCTTACTACTCTGGGCTGGGTTTTGTACTAAGATGACAGAAATACAAAGGTACATAATCATCAGTCCCTATTTAAAA